TTTTCTGTCGTCGAGACATTTCATAAAACCAGAAAACTCACGTTTTACACTATTCGTTTATAAACGCTTCCTAACTCAACTCAATTAATAAAATGTTTTGTCTTCCCTTGTATTTCCCCCACTGGCTTTGCGCATCCCCAGTTATCTTTTCGGTCAAGGAACTCAAACTCATACATACATACATTAAACACGTATGTCGACACAGTGGTATATCTCGCGAGCATGTTGTGCAGTTTAACATTTCACAGCACTTCAGAGCTTGCCAGAATCTTTCCCCCAAAATATTACTAGACCCATCTCACCCACTGTACTCTCAATTTAGTAAGTGTATCTCTACATCTAGCACTCGCTTCAAGTAAAAGAATATAGCTGCACGCACCACAACATACAAGTCTTCTGTAATACCGTATTTCGCACGGCCATTTCCACTGCAAGAGAGTGATTGTGTAGTAGGTGAATGTGAGGCGAATTAAAGCCGCTTCTTGACTTGATGTGACCCATTGGGACTTTATGTATGGCATCACGTCAGTTACCGTAACCGGAAACAATAGGTCCACGTGGTCATCTCGTGTTTATCACTCAAAGATGAGCTTCATGAGACTAATTTACGGAACTCCTTCTAGAGTATCCTGTTTGATTACAACGAGACCTATTGCTACTGATAGTTCATTTGCACCACGGCTTACGTACAGACTGTACGACTAGGAAGATGATCGCGAATGTGTAAGAACACGTGCGCCGAACAATAGTTTCGGTTTGTACAACCACTAAGCATGCACTTTCATGCCCAAGTTTTGGTTGCTGTCTTTTAGCCGTCCATTTGAATGAAACAATAGGGGAAAGACTGGAAAGATCAAAGTAGGGTCCAAAAGGAAATGGAGAATTGCAGTGGACTAAGGTTATTTACTAAACTTAGTCATATCACTCAGTGTTTCTAACCACCGTTTACGATCATTCCGTGGTCCCCAGCCAAGGACACTAACGGGACCTATGTGACCGATTATGGTTACGGTTTTCACACCCTGGTGCTGGGTCTCATTTTGATCACCTTTGGCTTTTTCCACCCATTACCTGACTCGGCAAACATCGCTCGCTATGACAATATATTTGGTGGCATACGTAACAAATGCTCCAACCAGCGTAATCCATGGATGTCGGCCACCTGCTCCAGTGGACGACTACGATAACCTAAAACTCTACGCCCAGCCTCAACATTGCTCTTCCGGTTACCCCACCAGATTCGTGCAATGCGGTGTGGGCATATATTAATATTTTCACATACGTCTGAGTTCAGACTGTGTGCAGAACAAATCCCGGTCCATAAATTGTTCGTGGGTGGGGTAGTGCTAGGTAGCCGTGTAGACAAAGGTGTTCGAACACCGACAGTCCATCCTTATTCCATTTTTCAAGTGGCCAAGTTTCTGCGTCTTACAGCACAAATGGTCGAACTTCCGCAGCATGCACCCGATCCTTCACGGACAGCTGGATGTCGCGACGATTTAACAGAAGTCTCAAGTTGGAAAATGCCAACAGAGCCTTATGTATGCGAGCCGTGATACGTAAGATATAGTTGCCCAAATGACAAAATTTTTCACTCGCTCTATCACTTTCCCGGTCAGGATGAGGTTAGGTGCTGGATCAATCCAGTCTTGTAGCAACATTTTACACTGACGGTACAAAACGCACACCGAACATGACCACACCAGCACACAAACTATCCAGAACAGCTTGCAGCTCACCCGGATGTTCACATAGCTGTATGATGTAGAACACTAAGTGGCCAAAGAACTAGAATGAGAGTCCCGATTAGGTTTTCTGAGAGGTACATTGAGAATAAACGATGCTAACAAGAGCAAGATCACAAACAAGACACTGACATCGTATTCACGTGCATAACCGTTTAGAGCCGAATCCATAGAATCACACACAAACCGACCCGATGTCCACTATTTTTTCAATAGGGTTGGTAAATACAGATGAGCATTTGCTCCCCTTTTACAGTGAGTTAAATCTGTCGGGATTAACACGAAACAACAGGGGAACTTACGAAGCCAGTGCTGGTGAGGAAAGCTTCAACGATACCGGCATTGAATGTGGCCATATTCAGAGGAACCGCTATTCAAAGCACGGACGGATGAGAGGGAGATGATAAAAAAGGAAAAGCATACAACTCACGAGCACCCGCACGCTTTCCCTCTTTCTCATCATAGACGAATCGGGTAAATCGATTTACAACCGGTTCCTGTTCAATCATGTAAACTGGTGCAGATCAATCAGAATGATGATGATCAAACAAACGAACTCACATGTGTTCTCATCGTCTCCGTCTCGTTCCAATTCATCGGCCTCTTTGCCGAACAAACTTTTCCAGAATGTGCTTTTTAAGAACAGTAGCGCATTGCACAGACGTATATCCCGTCTTTGCGGTTTCTCTCGGGAATAGACCAAATCGACCATACGCACACCCACAAGACGTCCAAAATCAGCCAGTCTGAATGGGGTTGAGAGCGAGGCAAGGAAGAGGGTTGGATCATAACAACAAAGGAGAACGATATGAGTGAGCTAGCTAGTGGTTCTGTGGCATCACAATCCAGTTTCCTGTCGCTGGAAATTTCCGGCTGGTCCGTTGAAGGATAACCAAACCAAGAATGAGTCGATAAACAAGCATTGCTGCCTTCGAATCCGATGTTGAATTAGATGGATCCGACAAAGCTGTATCGGAAAATTTACCCGTTCTATGTATGCGCTTCATTACTGTCGAGAAAATGACAGTGTAGGAAGAAAAGGAAAGGTTTAACAACACGGCAGTTTAAATGCTTGCTTGATTTCAGTCTGTGCTGTGGGTTGCCGACCAAGTTCGAGCAGGAGGTTGAGTTGATGGATTTCACTCCGAGTCTTCGAAGGAAAAATCCAACCCTCAAGGCAGTGCTGCCGGTAGTGGTCGGATCCAAGTCGATCGGATCATATGCCCCTGCAAAGAACACACCTGCGCTTACTGGGTATCCAATAGACTTCATTGTCTAATAGATTCAGTATTCTTAGGGGTAGTTCACACACCATATCACAGACTGTTCGAAACCAGTTTGTCAGCTTTCACATATGAGCTGGTTACTGGTAACTTGTCCGTCTAATGATAACTGTGGAGATTGGCTTACTCTATCAGATCTCAGAGGGGAAACAACCTCACCATAAACAGGAAAACGACGTCCTTCAGTCTGGGACAATGAAAACGGTTCTCCGAAAAATCCATCCCAGATTATATCACAAAGTTTTGGGGTCGGATTTTCATATGTAACTGGCCTTCTTCAATCGATGTTTAGTTTGAAGAACACTATAAACTGAGGAAACGTGTTAAGAGAAATAAGCAGCACAATTTATTTATTAGCTTCAAAAAAGACCAATCTTTAAAGCTTGACAGTCCATTGATCGGTGTAGCCGAATCGCGTTTCTCACCACACTTGCCTTCCCCAAATGTGAGGATAGACTTCATTTACTATTCACACTGGATGGGTCAAATCCGGGTCAAAATGACTGGGCAGTTGCAATATACGTGCTATTCAGGAATGGTTTCTTGCAAAACAGAACTTAAGTTTGAGCTGTGAACAGCAAATGTACACCTAGTCCTGCAAGAGCCATTTATGTTGACGGTTGTGGAAGAGGTTATCCTTAAAACACAGGTCAAGTCAAGCAATCTTTCACAGCATTATCTGAGACATAAACTTGAATCAGACAGAGAGAATTTGGCTGGATATGCTCGGTTTCTAGGTTGCACCTGCTTTATCCAGTTTCAATTTTTGAAACCATTAACCATGGACTTTCGTGTCGGTTTTGGTTGCCGTCTTGAGATCGCCGATTTCGATACTGAAACTGAAACAGCGAAGTAAAAAGAAGCTAACTTAACTGACCGCGGCTAAATTCGCAATGCATATGCATTGGGGTCTGATGGACGGTTACCGCTGTAGTGTCCAGCCACTAAGCAAGCAGCAGAACGATTTGGGTTCTCAACCAAAGCCTTTAGTTCTGACAAGAGCCTGACCGCAAGGCAGCGGGTGAAGCGAAGTCGAGACCCATTTACTTGGATCGGTTACTCCTCAACAATTTTTTTCCGACTGTAAGGCAAATTCCAGTCGAACCCCCAATCTGGAGGACCAGGAGACTGGACTTCGCTTGACCTCTACCGATTTAACTTCCAAGCGTGATGAGATCACCTGGCTTGAAAAAAGCCATCCTGTGTAGGTTGTGGGATCTGAGAGGTGCACAAGCCATCACGCCACGTCAAGATGCAGTCTCGGCCGGGCAAATACGCCCAGTTGGTGCCAGTCCCTCATCTAAAATGGAGGTTACTCAGGATATAAGTTACTTCAAAAGACCTAAAGCCTCCAGTGCTGACGGGCTGTTTCCATCGGCGTTTATGGACGGAGGCTCAAAGTTAGTTTTGGAATTGATGAAACTCCAAGGCTCATTATGGGAAAGGGAACAGGTTCCAGCCGTATGGTGTGAATCGGTCGTCATACCGATTTACAAGAAAGGTAACAGATCTCCTTGTGAGAATCCTAGTACTGCAGTGGTCAAGTTTCTGCATCGTCGAGCATCACTGGTCGAACTGCTGCAGCATATACTTGACCCTTCACAGACAGCCGGATGTCGCGATGGCGCCACAGATGTCTCAAGTTGGCAAATGACAACCGAACCTTTTGTATGCACGCCGACACTTAATCCCTAATGTGTCCACCCAATGAGATATAGCTGCCCAGATAGCAAAACTTTTCTACTACCTCTACTACTTCCCCAGTCAGTGTTAGGTTGAGGACTGGACCAACCCAATCTTGTAGCAACATTTTACACTTTGGAGGTGGAAAACGCATACCAAACATGGCTACACTAGCACTCGAGCTATCCATAAAAGCTTACAACTTAACTGGATCTTCAGTTAGTCGTCTGCATACTCTAGGTCAGACAGTGCTGTCTGGGAGTAAATCGATACCGCTGCCTCGTAGAAGGATAGGGCTGTTTCGAGAATTGAATCTATCACGAAGTTACATAGAAACGGAAAAAACAGGCAATCCTATCGAACGCCACTTTCGGAAGTGAACTAAGGTGAAAGGTGCTGTGAGCACCAACTCGGCTTCGGCTATTAGTATAAAAGGATTGTAACACTGAAATAAACTTTTCGGGCACATCCTTCAGGGAGAGGCAGAGTCAGAGTTTGGAGCGGTCGACTGAGTCGAAATTCGCTTTCAGATAGAGGAAGATAGAAATGGTGGCTCTATGAAAGGGGTATCTGTATTCTAGAACTTGACGAAGAATAAAGATGTGGTCGATACAAACTCGACCGGGTCTGAAACCAGTCTGGTTCTCACGCGTACACCGTTCACATGCGGCAGACAATCGACGAAGTATAATACCAGCGAGAAGTTTAGAGACGATGTTGATTAAACTAATTCCTCTATGGTTTTCACAAGAGGATCCATCACCTTTCTTGTAAATCGGTATGATCACCGACTCACACCATTCAGCTGGAACCTCCTCTCTTTCCCATATTGAGCCCAGGAGTTCTGTTAACTCCAAAACAAAGGCTGAACCTCCATCCTTGAAAACCGATGGTAACAGCCTGTCGGGGCCCGAAGTCTCATACGTTTTTAGAAAACTTAATAATTAATTTCTCGGATAACCTCAATTTCAGATGAAGGACTGATATCAACCAGTATGATTGAAGCGAGCCAATGGGGGCTAGTTGAACTGTGCCTTAAAATGTTCTACCCAACGTTTAAGACGGCGTTGCTGAATATGAATCAGTGTGCAGTCACGCTCCTCAATTACCTCATTTACGCCTGCTTTCCTTGGTCCCGTACTCCTAATTAAACGAAAAAGATTGCGACTATTACCGATAGACGCAGCCTTCTCCATCTCTACGCTTGATCGTGCGCCAAAATCCAAATGATAGTTCCACTTCGAAGACCGATTTGCAACTGTCGCTGACACTGTATTGTGGGTATCCGTTTTTGGTGGCTTTTCTGTGGTTGTTTACTAGGCGTAGGGAGAATCTTACTGGTAGCAGAGCATGGTCCGTGTCGACGGGTGTTGACTATTAGGAGCGGCAGTCTTCAATGGATCCACACCAGCGGTGGCTGATGGCGATGTGATTAATTTGCGTCGAGCACTGAGAAGCGGTTGGTCTCCGTGTAAGGCGGTGTCGTTTTTTGCGAGAAGTCGGTGCTTGACAGAAACAATCCATAGTCAGCACAATGTTGGAGTAGGCGTTCTCCGCTGCCACTAGGGTTAGCTGGGTTTGCACGTGAAGCGCCAAGTAGCCTTTCAAACTCGTCCAGGGATTCCACTCGAGCATTGAAGCCCCCAACGACTACCACGATGTCCGTTGATCGAGCACTTTGAAGCAGTTGAGAGATGTCCTTGCAGAATTCATCCTTCACTTCTGGCGAACTGCAATCAGTACATACGCCGATACGACGAATAAGCATCGACGCTTCTTTATGTAATTGTTGATACGTACTGAACCATCCAGACGTACAGCGCAAAATCGGCTACTAACCGGGATCCAGTCGGGAAGCGAACGCTCGCCCTCGATACAGCACAATCTCAACACCAGCAAAGCCACGAGCTTCGGATGCCGAATCGCCTGACACACGGAGAGTGAAGCGTGAGGATGAGGTTGGGTTAGAAGGTAGGGAGATGATTGAAGTAGGGTCTTAAATGCGTGTTTTGGAGAAACAGCATACACGTAAGTGGAAGGCTTCAAGGGTCCTGGCTAAGGTAGTTTGTTGACCGATCTGGTAGTGTGCCGACATTAAATGCGGAGATTTCGGTGCTGAAAATCTGATAGCCTTGGAGTGGTGAACCTCATTAGTTGAACGCTGAGTGATATCCCATGGGTGGCGCGAACCGCACGCACCTCTTACAGTTTGGGAGTGAGAAGAGGAAGTGGACATTTGAGAGTTTCCCAAATGGCTACCTGAAACTTTGGGGCACGGCATACTTCGCGGTAACCCATATCGACGAAGTGGTTTTTCTTTGGGAACCCCAACCGTAGCCTTTGACTCAAAAGTCTGACCCTCAAGACAACTGTATCCCCCTTATCAGGAGCCAACCCTTGAGAGTCCGGGTCGGGAACATTAATACATAAGTTACAAGAATGAAACAGATGAATGTAAAAACATGTTGCTCCAATTTGCTCAATGAAACTCTCATAAGGATGAACAAAAACACCCAGAACATTTTTTAACTCACCGTTTTTGAACAGCATCCATTGTAGATACATTACGCATTGAGTATTTGACCAATTCCACAAACAGATGAGCGAATGTAGCTATATTGACCTAGAATGGACTGTGCATAGCATTCAATTGTGAATTCATTACTTCGCCTTTGAGTTTCGATAAACTTTTCTCCAGGTTCAATGCGGCTGTTTTTGAATATCCTGGATTCATGGTATCCCGTCGAATAGAGGCTATAAGAGATAAAAAGTGGATTTTGTGAACCGGAATGAAATGTGATAGATCATACGCACATACAATAACGATTACGTAAAGCGAGTGAAACACAAACCTAGTTCTTAACCTCTGTAACATCAGCATCATCGTACGAGATACAGTGAAGCAAACTTCGTTAATCGCTACCAAATTTACAGTGTAGATGAAGTAAGTGAGAACGTACCAGATGGACAGGAACTGGGTCTATCTGG